TACCAAAAATTAGTTCGTGTGGGGTATACCCTGTGTCGATATGTGGTGATGTATTGTAAGCAAATGTATAGTATGGTAACCAATTATCCCAGTTATCATCGTTTGCAAAGTTAAGCAAATATTCATTCAGTACACAATGATTTCTGTCAATCGTACCTATAGTCTCATGATGGTAAGGTGTGGAGAATGTTTGTTTTATTTGTAACAATTCTGTGATATTTGACATTCGTTCATTCATGAACTTGTACCACTGTCTAACTGTCTATTTTATCATTTTTATCTAGCACTAGTTCATATATTCTTAATTTCTCAATGTCTGCAATGAGTTTCCCCATAGAAATCGGCTTCGTAGGTTTTTCGCTCATTACCACAATTAGATTGTTTTTCGTAACTTGTATGGTACCTTTTTTAAATTGCTTTTTAGGCTTATCTTTGTATACAAATTGTAAAATCTTCACTCTGCGTATATCACTAATGGATGTACAATTCCAGCAATAGAGTTCATCAGGCTCAATCGGCTTTGTAATTCCTTTAATGTTATCCGTAGTTTGTGCACTTTTTGATTTACTTCGTGTAGCTACGCATATTTTTTTATATATTCTTTATTAAAATGTCTTAATAATTCGTCTTCATTTGGAAGGTTGTATAGTACATTAAAGTGAGCGGACGTGATTTCATGTCGGTCTCCGAAAAATTTAAAATTCACAGTCTTAAAACTATTTAAATTAAGAATTTTTGTAAAAACCAGTTTTGTAATTAATATAAAAACACAAATAGAATAACAATTAGCAATAAAAAACAATTCCAAAAGTGAAAAGTGCATAAAATATTAATTTGAAAATAGCGCCCACTTTTTCGGATTTTTGTTTATTTTCTTTTTGCACTACTTAAACTTAAATGCTCAAATAGCTGACAGAGACAGCAGATTAACATTTAAAACTAAAAAACAAACAAAAAATGTGAAGTTTGAGAAACAAAATATATCAGTGCGCTTTTGTGCATACATAAACAAAACAAAAAGAAGTGCTGATAGAGACAGCTATTATTCTGATAAAAACGAGTTTCACAAAAGCTAACACAAAGCTAAGCCTACAACACAACATAACACAACACCACATTGCACAACACAATTCAGTCATCACAACTAGCACAATTAGATACATTGTAATTTTATTTTATTTATTTAATTTATTAACCACCTTTATATGTATTTATTTATTTATTACAATATAAAATATAATGTACCATATTTACTTTTTTTATTTTTTCTTTATTTTTTTTTTGTCATTTTTCTTATATCGATTTAATTTCATTTTTACTTATATTTGTATTAAATTTAACTTTATTTTATCTTATATTAATAGTAGAAAAATAAGTAAATCTTATAGCAAACCTGCTATTTGGATACATACCGGCGTATGCAAATGAGTAATTCGAATCCTCTCCCAGAGAGAAGACATACCGTATCGCATTGCAAACAAACGTAATGCTTATCTAGTAATAGACACATCAAACAAGTTGCGTCAGAAAACTACAAAAACTGATAAAAGCTTACAAAGCATTGTATCTTTAGCAGCATCACTTGCATTTCCCGACTTAGCGAGTCCAAAAACTAGAACTAAAATCCAAACAGGCATGGAACGCTATGTCAATATTAAACGAAAACTTAGTCCTCAAGAAGGCAACTTAAGAGGTGCTAAAATAAACAAGAGTGCACAAATAAACAAGAGATAGTGCACTCACAAATATACTTTCTAGCAATAGATTTGCTGAACTAGCTGAATCTACAGAGGAAGCTAAGCTAAGCTAAGTTTAAGCCCCCTCCACTTTAACTGCGTGAACGCAGTTCAAATACTCTTGTTACACTCCTAACAAGTCTGAT